CCCCCCCACTCACTCTTTCTTGAGGATGGCCACTTGTCTGCTGACGGGCTTGGAGGCTACCTGGGGCAGCAGGTCTCTGTCCATGCGGAGGTCAAGCCAGGGGTCAGTCAGGCCCTGCGCCGTGCGCCGGCTTGTGTGCCCGTGCTGCATCTCTTCCGGCTGCCGGGGGGAGGATTGAAGGATTGAAGGATTGAAGGATTGGTGGATTGAGGGATTGGTGGATTGATGGATTGATGGATTGAAAGATTGAAGGGTTGAGGGGTTGAGGGATTGATGAGTTGAGGGGTGGAATGATTGAGGGATTGGTGGATTGGAAGATTGATGGATTGGAGGATTGAGGGATTGAGGGATTGAGAGAATGATGGATTGAGGGGTTGAATAATTGAGGGGTTGATGGATTGAGGGATTGATGGATTGGGTTGAACGATTGAAGGATAGAGATGTTAATGGATGGAGTGGTTGAAGGATTGGGGGATTGAGGGGTTGATGGATGGAGTGGTTGAAGGATTGAAGGATTGATGGATGGGAGGATTGAGGGGTTGATGGATGGCGTAGTTGAAGGATTGAAGGATTGAAGGATTGAAGGACTGAGTGGTTGATGGAGTGATGGATTGGTAGATTGAAGTATTGATGGATTGAAGGATTGGTGGATTGAAGAATTGGGGGATTAAGTTGTAGATAGATTGAAGGATTGATGGATTGAAGGGTTGGAGGAATGAACTATTGAGAGGTTTAATGGTTAAATGATTGAGTGACTGAAGGATTGTATGGTTGAGTGGTTGAATGGTTGAACAATTGGATGGTTAGATGATTGAACGAGTGAACGAGTGGATGATTGTATGGTTGAATGATTTCAGTGATTACGTGAGTGACTGGGTGAGCGAGCGATTCACAGAATGAATGATTAAAAGGTTGAAGGATTGATGATAAAGTAGAGTCTTTTTATTCATTTTCGAACAAAATCAATCGACCGTTAAATGTCTACTATGCTTTTGGGGGTTTATAAAAAAACCAAGCGTTTTTACGCCCCTTTTGACGCAATAAGATCGTTTAGGAGGCGGGCTGCAACTTTAGTTTAGTTTCAGTTTTAGTAGAGGTTTTTACGGCACTTGCAACTGCATGAGGTCATGTGAGCGCCAGAAGATTAGAGGTGTTACAAGAGAGTAACAAACATGAAAAAGAAGAAGGGGAGATAAGGATGATAGATGTTTGATAGGAAAGAAGAAGCAAACCACATCAGAGCACCCGCCAATCACCCACGGCTTCAACTTTGCCTGTCAAAGTCAACACACGCTGAGAGGGAGACAACAGCCCAGCAGAAAGACTGAGAGAAGCTCAATAAACGTTCTCCTCTCCTAGTAATCGAACTCGAGTCCCGTGCCTACAACGGCGAGCAGCTTAACCCCGCTACACTACAGACAGCGGTTGCGTTGATTTGTTTTTTTTTTCCATATATATGTAGATCTATATTATATATTTTAAAATTTTTAATAATTTTTAAAAAACTAAAAAAAAAAATAATTAAATTAAGAAAATCAATGTTATTTATGTATTTATTTATTTTTTAAACATAGTCTCTATATATAATATATACAAATAGATATATATTCTTTAAAAAAATTGTAATTAAATTATAAAAAAAACCGCAACGTTGTTACTGTTTTCGTCATCGACCATCCACTAGAAAAGAACAAGAAAACAACTCGGTCATCCACATTCACAACTTTAATCAATTATAAACTTCCCCAGAGGAATGTTCCCGGGGCGAACAACTCGAGCGAGACAGAAGCACACAGCACACACCATACAACGGTTCTCGCCCCTGGATATTGTACAGGTACAAGGCGCCACGCGTTGTTCTTATTCTAAAGAAAAGTTCTCGGGGTCTTAAAGGTTTAAAATGTGAGGCATCGTGGTGAAATCAGGCCCAGGTCAAAATAGTGAAATCGAAAAAAAGACATTTTTTCCATCAATTTTGCAATTTTAATCTAATTTTTTAAAAACCTAAACACCCTTTAGTTCATATTATTACGAAAACACATTTCCATGTGAATTTTACTGAAGAGCCTTGTTTATAGGCACAAAGTATGTAATGTTCAGTTTTCAAGGACTCTTAAGCTATTGAAGTTACCAAACTTTGGCGGTCATTTTCTCATTCGTTTAACCTCTGAAACCAGGCTACCTCACCTTCTTCAATCGCAAATATCTCGATTTCTTTTCAAGGCAGATGGATATTTTAAAAATGAAAAGCAAGGCAAATAAATAAGCTTTAGCATGATACCAATAACTCCACATGCCCCAAAATTGACGAGAGCCTGATTGCACCACGCCGAGACACAAATATCGATGAAGCATACCGGTCACTGAAAAGGATAAGTCGAGCATAGGTGGTTTGTTAAAGAAATGTTTTGTTGTATACTAAATCAATATTTTTTTTTTCTGTTTGGTCTAGAAAGTTTGATTCTGAAAGTCCTCCAATGAAGTAAAGACTTCTCCCCCCCCCTCTCTCTCTTTCTCTCTTTCTCTGTCTGTCTGTCAGTCTGTCTCTCTTTCTCTGTCTGTCTGTCTATCTGTCTTTCTCTGTCTGTCTGTCTGTCTGTCT